GATTAATTAATTACAAAGCCTGTAATTAATTAGATTAATTTTTTTAATCGAGTCCCGGCCCTAATTTTAAAATAACTTTTTTTTACTCACTTATGTGGTTTTACATCATATTATTATTATTCCTACTTTTGTGTGTGCACNGGTGTAAACAACCGATTAGTGTTTTTATCTTAAGAACAGAATCTCAATGCTGCTGTTTCTCCGTGCTTCACACTTCATATGGAGTAGGACTTACTCTGGAATCCCTTTATCCAGAACACATTCTGTCTCTCTCTGCCATTATCTGTCAAAGTTATAACTCATTTGATGTATTTTAAAATAACTTTTTTTTACTCACTTATGTGGTTTTACATCATATTATTATTATTCCTACTTTTGTGTGTGCACATAGGCATTTTGCTGTAAGAAAAGAAAGCTATATAGAAAGTGTTTTGTAGATTTATGTTAGTCTTCTCTGACGACACGCTGTTTTGATATCTGTAAATACGTCTTCTTTCTATTTTGGTGATGTGGATTGTCATAAGCTTTCCATGTAAAGACATAATGTACAGAAAAGGTCTATGAAAAGAGTTCAAGGACAGTGTCTTCCTCTTGAGGCGCTATATCTTTCTTAGAATACTATTTTTCTTGTAAATTATTTATATCAAGCTGCTTTGATGTGAGCATTCAGTTTTCTAGAGCTACAGTAGATCCTAAACGGGACTCCCCCCCCTCATGTACAGTTGGAAACAATATGATAAAAAGCAGCCTATAAACCGGTGTGTGTCTTTTCATTCCACACGATGATGAAGCTTTTTCATTCACCTCCACAGCACCACATCTATTATACCGGTCACTGTAATCTATATATGAATGCATTCATTTCACATTTCTATTAGAAATAGATGTATTATTTAGTATATTAGATGTATTATAATGTCATACAAATTGCATAATATAGCATGCTACAAAACATTTATTTGTAGTGAGCCATAATGCATTTGATTAAAAATGTCATAGTTTGGCCTTTTATAAGAGAAAAATAGTCTTAATATATTTAACGATATCATTTACATAAAATAAAATATAATATGTCGTAAAAAAGTCATAACACGTGAGATGCATTGTATCATAATCATCCGCAATCCTTTTATAAAGCTCCACTTTCAATAGCTCACATTACAATACTTGGCTGCTGGGCCATCCTAATAAGCGTCTGTCAGGTTAGAAATTACCATGTTTAAAAGCAACTGGTTGCATGGCAACTAGAGGAAGCTAATGAGTGTCTCAGGAGTTACATTATGTTGTCGATGCTAGTGCTGTTAGCTTAAGTTAGCCATTTACTGTAGGAGGGCAACTCAGCGGTGTAATGTGGAAGTCGGATGGAAAATATATTTAATTACAGTTTGTGTGCACTTTTTTATTGAACCGTGTTTGCTCCCTTAAAAATAATAATAATAGCATACAGTATTTGTGTCTCAGCTGCATGGACAGTGAATCAGGACCATGCAGGTCAGTGGAGACTCAGTGTGTCTGCAGGAAGGATCCAGAAGCCCCATCTTGGCAGAGCTCTGGAAGAGAAACACAGCACATTACTTTCACTGTGTGTTTCAGATCAGGCTGTAAAGCAGGGGTGGGGAACCTCCGGCCGGGCCGCATACGGCCCGTGAGACCATTCGCTACGGCCCTCGAGGTAATTTATACACGCAAAAAAGAAAAAAATTAAAGAAATCTCGACCGCCAAAAAATTAAACAAGCGAGTGCCTGTTTTTCCTGGCCAAGGTCAGGGTCCTTGAACACAACACGAGCCTAACGTGTCAGCACGTGGTATATGTCTCGTCTGACGGGTGCAGTTCTGACGGTTCTAACGGAGAACACCAGAACGTCGCTTCGGCACTTCCAAAAATTGCAGTACCCATAAGGAGCCGTACACATGTCGCAGTTTTTTCGTGGCTGTGTCTTTAGTTGTAAGCCCAGTGGCGATCTGTTCATCTGTCATACTGATCATACAGTCAATAACTTTGTTGTTATTAGCATCTGGTTAGCTAGCTATGCTAACGAATATAAGAAGCTTTTTCTCCAACCTAAAGGCACATCTTTATATGATCATTATAGTTATAAAAAAATAAGAGAATAAAGTAAACAGGTGTAAAATACTATATGACAGTAAATAAAAGTTGTTATTAATAAACAAGAATACAGTTTGAAAGGGGAATGATTTGTAAAATATCCATAAAGAAAAATAAATATGTTTACAGTTCTGTTTCATATGGATGTTGAGAGATGTATCCATAGATCTCCTAATGTTGCTCTCAAAGTGCACCAGATTGATGCTTTTAACTTCAAAATGTAAAAAAAAATCTTCCCGGACCCCCCTGGAGGAGGTGAGGACCCCCCTAGTGGAGGTTAGGTCCCCCCCCCACACACTTAAATCATGTTTACATGGATAGGATACTAAATACATTTGCACACATCTTGTGTCCATATCTTTCGGGGTTGGTGATCATGCTTCAACCGTGCACGTGAATGCATGCACGAGTCATGGTGATATCTGGATTAAGAGGTTGCTTTTTCTTTGCACAGCATGAAAGAAAGGCCAAATGAATGGGCTGTGATCTTAGTATTTTTAAGCAGAGGTCAATAATTTGTACGGTCCTCGGAGGATGTTGAAAAAATTGAAATGGCCCTTGAGAGGAAAAAGGTTCCCCACCCCTGCTGTAAAGGGTCCAAATGAAAAGGGTCCAAATGAAAAGCCCCCACACAGGAACTATTCATACTAATTGTCTCACTCACATGATGTGTCGTCTGCCAGCTCTCAGAGACATGATGCGCGTTGACTCGTCTCACAATCCCTCAAACTCGGACCTCCACTCCACTGACCTGGAACCGAAGACCACAGGTCAGTGGAGCGTGTCCAGGAATATGGAGCTAATTTCCTGCCATAACTCCAAAAACAAATTAACAGGTTTTACAAATGCCTCATGATTCACTAACAAACACAATGTCGTTTGCAACACACCATCTACAAACTAATGCATTTAGTTTTGCAAAGAAAAAACGTATCAAATAAACACATACCATTTTTCTAATAAATCATGTTTCAGAGATAAATTCAGCATAGGTTTTACAAGTACAAACATTTTTTTCTCACGGCGGAATATTAGCCGTGGCTGGTACATATATATATATATATCTATGGGCACATACTCCACGGCAGCAGGGGGCGCTACTGAGTCCATTGGGAAGGCGGGAGGTTAAGCAGAGCATGGAACAGCCCGTTATAAAAATCTAAATTATTATTATTACTGACATGAGAGCAGCCTTTTCCCCCTAAAAAACTTGCTACAATCTAAGCTTAGTAGCATATAAACACTGTCCTTATACAACTGTAACAAGCCGCTGTATTCAGATTAATGTGTGTTGTGTCACAGAGCAAAGATCCATGCCGGGTCATTCCGTTCCGCACTCGGCATTTGTTCAATTAACTGAAATGTACTTCTCCCCTTAGAAAAATGACCACTCTTGAATAAGTAATGGCTGCTTGCAAATCAAAACTGTCTGATTTGCTTTGTCAATCTTTGACTTACTTGTCAGAAAAAAAATTCAAGCAACGCGACCCGTTAAATAATTCATTCAAGGTTGTTTCCCGCCCTCTGCCTTTCGGTCCTTCATTACTGATCATTTTCATTGAGTCACAAGAAATGAAGTCTACATTTAATAAATTATGCAGGAAGCAGGAGAAAGGATTATTTTCAGCAACAGCACTTTAAAGCCAGACAGCCAACTCCTGCCACAGAGTGCATTCATAATTCTCCTGGAACATTAAATACATTATTGTTTGTTCAGCCTCAGCTCTTGACCATCATTTCACCATTTACTCCTCTCCTGCAGTAACCCCCGTCTCTTATTTCACATCATTATGGCAAAATGGAGTCTTTACAGGATGAGGAGGGGGGTCATTATTTGTGCCTCTGAGTCTACAGACACAATAACAATCTGCTCAAACCGCAGCAGAGAGAACAGGATTTCTTCAGGTCATGTGAGCAGAT